TCACTGGCAGAGGGACGGCCTCTCCCGTTGGTCTCAGTCCTCCCGTCCACCTGTTTCCTCTGGGCGTTTCCTGTAGCTCCCGGCAAAGGGAAGGCCCGCTCTGTGTACAGAGACGCCCGGTGCCCGAGTGCACCGCTCACCTCCAGGGGCAGCACCCGGCCTCTCACCTGAGGTCAACACCCAGCGGCTCCCGGCGAGGGTCAGGATTCTGTGTCAGTCAGGGCTCGCCCAGGAAAGAGAGCTTCCATACGTAGCCTTAATGTACATACATTAATAGGAATATACATGTTACATATGCTTAATACCCAAACATTGACAGTAATATGCAATAATCTACCGTTTCCCCAAAAATAAGACAGTGTCTTATATTAATTTTTGCTCCCAAAGATGCGCCAGGTCTTATTTTCAGGGGATGTCTTATTTTTCCATGAAGAGGAATACGGTACACATTTATTGTTAAAGGAAAATAAAGAAAATTTATTACCTGTATACGGTATGGTAGTACGGTAGTTGTCAACACAAACCAGAGAAATGAATCCTACAGTTTCAAGAATTTACTCATTTCTTCAATGACAATCATGTCATCATCTTCTGGAACATCATCATAACAATCCAATTTTTGAATTTCCTAGTGAATTTCTTGTGACTCCATTTCTTTCAGAATCAGGACCAAATCTCTCATGTTTAGCAATAGCATTCTGAGACAGAGCTTAGGGGGTGCTTATTTTCAGGGGATGCCTTATATTTCACTCAGAAGGAAACCTGTAAGTAGGTCTTATTTTCGGAGGATGTCTTATTTTTGGGGAAACACCAAAAACCATGGTTTTCTTAGCTCTTTAGCTTCAGGAAGCCTCTGAGACACCGCCAGGAGCCACAGTATCCTCTGTGGCACAGGCCTTCCTTCTGGCCCCTGGCCCACCCCTGTTGGCGAGTTCCAGTGATTCAAGGCTTGTTCCTTATTTTTTCCGAGAGCCGTTACATAACATGCGTGTTTTTCAAAGGCTCCAATTGGCCTTGGCTGTGGTCACCACCCCTGCCGTGGTTCCAGGAATTGCCCGTTTGGCGGTGTTGAGGTTTTGTGCAGAGTCAGTCCCCCCGGAGACACCTCCCTGTGCCTCCCACCGGAGGGCTCAAGAGCTCCAAGCCACGCTCGCAGCAGGTCAGACACAGACCAGGTGGAGCCCTGTGGCTGGGGTGGGCGAGCGGGGAGATGGCCGGGCAGGGGGTTCCACACGGGAACCTGAGTGACCTGCAGTTCGGAAGGTGCCGCTCATGGCGTGTCTGGAATCACACAGAGTGCCCACCAGGACCCACCTGACGTGGGTTCTGATGACCCAGAGACCCAGGGACCTTAGAAATGGACCGAGAACCAGAGGCTTGGCACTCAGGAGCGGATGGAGGCGCAGGCAGTTAGAAAGGACAGACCAGCTGAGGAGTGGCCACCGCGTGAACTGTCGGGGGTACGTGGCGGGCACGCCCTCCCCCTGCCCTTGCTGTTGCGATTCCTGGAGCCTCTGCCTGAGGCCCTGAGCTTCGAGGGCCCCGGAGAGGATTGGGTGGTTCCGGAGCAGAGAAGGTGGTTTTTCTTGCTGGTCATTGACTTGGGGGGCCCTTCTCCTCCAATAGCAACCCCACCTGCTGTTTTGTCCAACGGGTTAGAACAGAGGACGAGGGGTGTAAAGGCAGCTTCTGAAATTATCCCGCTAACCCTCTCATCTGACAGGCGTGGGCCTGGATTCAGACGTGCCCAAGGTCCCTGGCAGCAGACGGCAGGCTGGGCTGGCCCGCGGCCTCGGGCTCGTCCCTGCGAGCAGTCGCGCTCAGACCTGCGGAGGGCCAGCCTGCGTGTGCCCACCTCCCCGCCCGGCCCACAGCCCCTGCGCGCCGTCACCGCAGTGGGCGTCGTGGGTCTGCTCGTCGCGGGTGGGAATGAAAACCCGCTACATGTGTTCCTTCTTGGGTAGGAATCACGGCCAGGAATTCGGAGGAATGTTACGTTGTGACCCCGACAGTGAAGCCCCTGGTGGGCCCTCAGGTGCAGGCCGTGCCCGGCATTGGCAGCCGCTGCTGGTCCTGTGTTTGCGCTCCCTCCAGGCTCTTCCTGGGGCCCCCAGCTGCAGCAACAAAGGCGTGTGTGACCCGAGCCGAGCTCGGAAACGCTGAGCGGGCAGGGCTGCGTCTGGTCGCAGGCACTGCGCCTCCACCGCGGCTGCACTGAGCCAACAGCCCTCCTGCAGGAGGGCACGCGGGGCTGGCTGTAACCGTGCAGAGTCTGTTTCTCACAGAGAAGGGTTGAGATAAGCGTGTGTGTGTGTGTGTGTGTGTGTGTGTGTGTGTGTGTATGTGAGGGGAGCTGTAAATAGGACCCCAGCTATGCAGAGTGCACACACGCAGGGTGTGGCGTGATCGCATTGGGGTGGGACACCCAACATCAGCGCCTGAACTACTTCCAATTAAGAAGCGAACCTTCAAGAGAAAGCTGGTGTCGTCAGCGCCTTGGGAATGCATCCTTAAACTTGCGAGTGCTCTCTCTCCTCCCTCCCCGTGGTCTCTCTGTGCCGGGATTCTTGTTTTCCGGGGAAGAGCTCTGTCTTCCCAGGCTCGGACACCGAGCTGGTGTGCATGCCTGGCCCCGAGCCTGCCCCAGAAGGCGGCAGGGTTAACAGGACAAGCTCTGAGCTCCGGGTGGGCAGGCCTGGTCATCGGCCTGCTTGCCGCTGTCAGGTTGTCTGGCTTTGGGCAGGACTTTCCTGGTTGTGTGGCTGCTCCAGGGACAAATGAGGCACCGATTGGGAGGTTTAAGGACGTGCCAATTTAAGGACATGTCAAAGGACGTCAGATGAGGGACAGCTCTGCTGTGGACACTTCCTTTTTTGTGATGGGTCTTTGTTTGCACCTCTGAAGAGGGGTAGGGCCGGGGGTGAAGTGAGCCGCTTACACGGTCAGCTCACATCTCGGGAATTTCCCCAAACCTGGGGCTGTTCCCTTTTGTCCGATGCTTCCTGACGGTGACAGCATCAGCCCGGTCCTGCAGGCTGCCTTCCCCAGTACCCAATCTCCTCTCGGGGCCTGTGGCAGGCCTGACGACAAGCCCGGAGTACATAGCTATCTCTTGGCAGAAACCACATGCTGCCTCAGCGTGGCCAGGGAAATGCCCTCTGGGCACCCAGGGGCCTGCCTGGCGGCTGGCAGGACTCGGGAGGGAGGTAGAGCGGTGAGGAGAGTGTGAGACTTTGGTGGGAGTTTGAAGCCGGGAAACCACACAGGACCAGCTCCGCAGCGGGGCCTTCTGGGATGCCGGCCCACCGAGAGGCCCGGTCCCGGTCATTCCCGTAACGGTCCGGGGGCCGGATTGGAGGCTGCCCACAGCGGCCTCTCACTGCGCGCTTTGTGCCTTCCAGATTAGATCAGGGAGCGCGGTGGGAGCCTCCCAGCAAAGGCCACCACGGGCCAAGGGCCTTCCTGCAGGGATGCTGGGCCGAGCACACACACAGCGCCCAGCGGTGGGCGTGCGGTGTGGCTGGTGGATGCGATGCTTTCGTGCCGGTTGGGAACAGCTGATGGGACCACCACAGGCCGCCCGGGACAGCAGGGCCGGGGTCCTGGGCTTGGCCCGCGTCCCTGAGCCGCCAGGGCCTCCGTAGGAGAGTGTGCTGGTTGCAGGGCTCTCCGGGGAGGGACACAGGAGCGCTTATGAAAAGGCTTCCGCTTGTGGGAACTTGTGCTGAACAGACGTTCGAGGGTGATGGTGACTGGAGACCAGAGAGGAATGTTCTGGTTAAAACAGGAGACACGGGCCGCTCGCCTGGCTGCTCCTCCCTCCCCGTGGACTGAGCCAGGCGGCACTGCTTTCTCGCTGGCCCGTCAGGGCACGGGGAGCCCTTGTGCTGCCACCAGGGCAGGAATGCCTTGTCCAGGGGTTCATTCAAACACTTTGCCACCTGCCGTGTGCCAGGCCAACGGGCCGGAGACACAAGGTGAGCAGCTCCTCCTGCCCCCGAGGGGTGAGTCTCAGAGGAGAATGAATGTGGAAGGCAGCCGATGGCCCAGGTGCATCCCAGGACTGTGGGAACACAGATAAGAGAAGAATTGATCTCGCTTGAGCACGGGGACCAGCCAGCGATGACACTTGAATTGTGTGACACACAGGAGTTGTCTGAGCCGGATTTGGGGCTGGGGTGGAGGGCTGTGGGAGCAGCAGGTGGAGGGAAGGGCTGGGAGCGGGCAGAGGACGGCAGCTGCAGGGCAATACTGCACAGACAGCGCTGGGCCGGCTCTGCGGCCGGGGCTGTCCCGGGGGGGAGGGTGTCATGGGAGCCAGTGAGAGGCCTTGAACTGAGGTGTCTGAGCAGTGGAGACAGTGATCCAGACAAGCCTTGTTTGGAAAAACCACCAAGGGCCCGCCCGGCTGTTGCTAGAAGGAGCCAGGGTCCAGAGCACACGACAAACAAGACTGCAGAGACCAGCACGTTTGTGGGGCCTGGCCCAGTGACCAATCCCAGCCTCCGCTGGTGGAAAGCTGCCAGCATCTGCCCGGGCGCTGACTGAGTCCCTGTGAGGCTGTATCTACCACAGGCCAGTCAGCGCCCGCCCCAGGGACCCAGCGCCCGGGGGTCCAGGACAGCCGCGGTGCTGTCCTCTGCCCGCTCCCCAAAGCTGCACCTTCCCCCCCTTTCCCGCTCCCTGTTGGCTCCTTCCCTCCCTGCCCCTTAGTCCTGCCTCTTCTTTCTCGTTCCCTCCTCCCCGGTGACAGGTGCCCTGTGACAGGCGACCAGGGGCAGCCACTTCCTGCTCTGGAAGGGAAGGCAGAGCGTGGTCAGGATTTCTGAGCGGCCAGTGCATCGTCACCCACTTCCTCCACCCATTTGCCATCCGTGCCCCTTCCTAACGGCTGATATGGAGGAGGATCGGGATGGGGTGACAAAGAGCCATGTGCAGCCCTGACGAGGCAGGGGGCACCTGAGGGCCACTGTCATGACCACGTGCTGTTTCCATCCTAGGACCTGAGCTCCTTTGCCATGCCATTCCTGGACGGAGACCTGGAGAGTTCAGAGAAGCACTCTTCTCGAAAGGTAAGTCCCCTTTCTCAGAGCTCACCTGAGGCGCCAGCAAGGCAGGACTTCCTCAGCGAGTGCCCAACACACACTTCTACCTGTACAGCCACTCGTGCTCCCACCTCACATCTACCCGTACTCCCACCTCACATCCACCTGTGCTCCCACCTGCACATCCACCTGTGCTCCCACCTCACATCCACCTGTGCTCCCACCTGCACATCCACCTGTGCTCCCACCTCACATCCACCTGTGCTCCCACCTGCACATCCACCTATGCTCCCACCTCACATCCACCTGTGCTCCCACCTGCACATCCACCTGTGCTCCCACCTGCACATCCACCTGTGCTCCCACCTCACATCCACCCGTGCCCCCACCTGCACATCCACCCGTACTCCCACCTCACATCCACCCGTGCTCCCACCTCACATCCACCTGTGCTCCCACCTGCACAGCCACCCGTGCTCCCACCTCACATCCACCCGTGCTCCCACCTCACATCCACCCGTGCTCCCACCTCACATCCACCCGTGCTCCCGCCTCACATCCACCTGTGCTCCCGCCTCACATCCACCTGTGCTCCTATCTGCACTTCCACCTGAAGGTGCCCCGTGTCTTCTCCCTGCATCTGGTGGTCTCCTGTGCAGCTGGAGACAGGGCCTTGAGTGAAAGCTGTGGTGGGAGGTAGAGAACTGGAGGGTAAGAGGAATGCAGACTTCGTTGGGGTGCCTGTCAGACCCTGGCCCCTCACGCCTGTCCCAGCACCATCCCCGGAGGGCAGACAGCCTCCTCCTGACTCTAGAACCTTGGCAGGTCTGCTTCCATTAGACCCTCTGAGCTACATACGGGCCAGGACTGCGCCTTGCGGTACCTCCCATCACCTTCGCGGCCCGGGCCCGGCCCGGTGCCCTCATTGGGAGGGCGAGGTGGCGAAGCTGAAGGCACTCGTCACGCTGCTGGAAACAGCTGGGCCTCAGACTCCAGTCCTGTGTCCAGAATCCTCGCTTGTGCCACCCTGCTGACGGGTCACCTTCGTTCCCACTGCCCAGTCACGTCCACAGGCACCGTCACCCTCCCCCCCCCCACCACGGAGTTTCTCCTGGTTAATTATTCTAGGATTAGACAACACTCAGGAATCCTGAGTCCCAAGGGAGGTGGCATCGTGACGAAACGATACAGACAGAGAATCTAGATGCATTTCACGTTCAATGGTTAGAGAGAGAAAAGCGAGAGCTCTGAGGGGTGAGCTTGAGCTCAGCTCTGTGGTTCCTCACCGGGCACGGCTCCTGCACTCCCTGAGGCCACGCTTCTCTCCCCCCACGCAGGCTCCACACACCACCTACCCCCCCCCCCCACCATACAGGCTGGGAGCGGCCGAGGGTGGGCCTGAGGGGGGTCGCTGAAGGCGGAGCCCCCGTGAGGGCATCACATCCTCTAAGGAACCTCCAGCCCGGTTTGGGAGCGCCCTCTGGTGGTGGAAGAACTCACAAGGGTCATGGGTCCGACAGGCACCCCGAGTGCACAGAGGCCCGTGGGCACAGAGCTGCCTGCCCGCCTGTGGGTGTGTGCGTCACCTCTCTTCCCGGCACTGTCCCCACCGGGGTCTCTGCGCTGGGCTGGCCCCCAGGCCTGTCCTTGCCCCGAAGCCCTGTGACAAGAGGCCTCTGACCGTCACAGCCCCCTCGCGCCAGCGCCATGGCAGCGTGAGGCTGAGACATGCATCCCTTCCCAGCCCGGGGCCCCTCGGGACGGAGCCAGGCCCAGAGTCAGACCATAGAGACCGGCTTCCTCCTGGGAGGAGGGCAGAGAACATTGTCCTGGAGGAGGACACACGTGAGGTCTGGAGCATGGAGAACAGGAGACCGACTCACAAGCAGTCAAAGGGAGGAGATACATCCTTTCAAGCCGGGTCCTCTGCCTGTCACCCCCCACCCCCTGCCTCCTGCAGGAAGCTGGGCAGAAGTCATGGGCCTTGGGTAGTGCTGAGCAGCCTGCGGGTGAGGGGGGAAGGGGCGGCAGCTGCCTTCCCCAGGCCACTCGTGGCAGCTCCGTTTGTAGAAGAGCCTAGGGCTGTTTCTCAGGAGGGTGCCCTGGAGGGGCAGCTCGGTGACGGGGACCCTGGGGGCAGCGGCAGGGCCCGGGTCCGAGTGCCCGAGCGAGCTCACCCTGTGCCCGTCTCTCCGCAGGCGGACAGCCCCTTCGGGTCCGGCAGCCCCTCCAAAGGCTTCTTCTCCCGAGGCCCCCCGCGCCGGCCCTCCAGCCCCGTGTCCGCCCCCGCGAGGCCCCGGACCAGCCCCGGCTCTCCCAGGACCGTGTTCCCGTTCTCCTGCCAGGAGTCGCCGCCGCGCTCCCCGCGTCGCATGAGCCTCAGCAGCATCTTCCGCTCCTCCTCCAAGGAGTCGCCCCCCACCTCCAGCTCGTCCACCTCGCCTGGGGGCATCCGCTTCTTCTCCCGCTCCAGGAAAGGTGAGGCTCCTCGCTCCTTCCCGCGGGCCCTCCCTCTGCCACGTGGCCAGGGCGCCACCTGCTTTCGCTGGTGCTGAGCGTGTGCTTGCACGGTGTCTGTCCCTGAACCAGTCTCCCTCCAGAGCCATGGCGGTCGGTCTCCACCGTCGGCTCCTCCGTCCCTGGGCTGGACGTGGGTGTCTGATACGCAGGAGGCCTTGGCCTCAGGCCTTTCTGAGAAACAGCGGCCGCGTGAAGCCACGGTGTGTCCTGCGCCGGCCCAGCCCCTGCTCCGCCTGCCGATGGGCCTGTGCCGTGTGTGATGGGGGGAGGCCGAGTGTGTCTCTCTCTGACGGACGGAGTGTGTTTCAGAGACCGAGCCTCAGCGTCGTGAAGCTTTGTGGTCTGAGTGCAGCGCCGCCGGTCAGAGCTGGAAAGATACCAGCACTTTCTCTTCTCGTGTGTCTTAGAGCATCTCCTTGCCCCCTCCCCTCCGCCCTCCCATTCATCCCGGTGACTAGGATGGTCCGACTCAGGAGGATAGTGATTTGGAAAACAGACTTGCCCGCAGGCACCAGAGGTCTGGGGCGGTCTTCCTTTACGTCAGCTCCATTGGTATCAAAACCGGCAGCCGGTGCAGTGTGACCTGGGAGCGGGTCACAGCATCCAGCTCCGCCTCCTCACCTTACAAGGGAAGGGCGGCTGTCTCTTTCTTTCTTCCTCTCTCCTCCTCCTCTTCCTTCTTCTGGTGTGGGTGTTGTTCCAAGAACCAACCATTAGCACTGGCCTTCTGATGCTCGAGGGAGCTTGCCCAGCCTCCTTGACAGGGACCTGGAAATCCTCCAGCGCTCCCCATGTCCCGCCTCTGAGGAGGGACCAGACCGAGGGCAGGGGTCCTGCTCCTTCCATGGCACCTGGTGCCTGTGGTGGGTGCAGTGAGCGAGGTGTCCTGGGACCGCGAGACACAGCACCCCAGACGGGCTTCCGCTTCAGAAGTGTGTTCCCTCACGGTTCCAAATCCAGGCGTCAGAGGGCTGTGCTCTGCCCGGAGAGCCGAGAACGTGACCTGTCCCAGGACTTCCTCTGAGCTCCTGGGCCCCTCAGCCTGTAGCGCGTCCCTCCCGGCGCTGTCTCCCGGTCCCGGGTGCTGCCCCTCTGTGTGTCCGGGCCGAGTGCTTCCCTCCGCCTCTCACAGGACAGCGTTATCGTGGATGAAGGGCCCACTCCGCCCCGTGAGCTCCCGTCATCACATTGGCAACAACCCTGCTTCCAAATAAGGCCTGTTCGGCTCCCGGAAGGTGTGAGTTCGGGGCAAACACTTCCCCCAGCACACACGTTACACAGGAAACCGAGGCTGGGGGTCAGGGCGGAGGCTACGGGCGGCCAGCCCGTCCACGGGGTCATTTCTGAAGGCAGAGAGGGGTCTGGGCGGCGGGGAGCGGCCGCAGGCGGGTGCTGGGTGCAGAGATGGGCCAGCCGTCGGCGTGCCGTGCGCGGGGCTCTTTGGAAAGGCTCCCGTGTCCTTGGCCAGAAAGTGCCAGTCCCAGGGCTGCCTGTAGATGCCGTGGCCGAGTGAGGCTGCTGGCTAAGGTGCTGCTCCGCCGTCTGGGGAGGCAGCTGGAGGCGGAGGAGCAGCGGCGTGGCCAGGAGGCCTGGGCTGGGAGGGAATAGGGTGCAAACCTCCCAGAAGGAAGGGTCCTGAGAGGCCACGCTGACCCCGCCCGGAGGGACGGGCATCTGGAAGGTGACGTTTGCTGTGGCCTCCCTTCCCGCCTGCCGCGCCCTCCTGCTCTCCCACTCTCCCGCCTCGCTGTCTCCTGCAGCACACAGAGCTGGACTTCGGTGCCTGCAGCTGTGGAGCCGGAGTGACGGGGGAAGGGGGGACGGAGGCCGGGGTCTGCAGCCAGCGTTCCCTCCGCCCCTCACGGCTGATGAGAATGAGGGCGGGCCTCTGGTCCTTTCCAGAGACGGGAGGGCTGCTGTCACGAGGTGGCAGAGCGAGGAGGGGAGAGAGCCTGCGGGTGCCGCTCTTCACGGTGCCCGGAGCTTGTCACTCCCGGGGCTGTGCATGCAGTGTGAGGAGGCCCACCCCTCAGCCGGCCAGCGGGTCAGGCATGCGGGGCCATACGGCATTGTGGGCAGGTTACCAGGCCAGGGCTAGTTGGGGAATTAGGCAGAAAAAGGATTTATTCCAGGCACCGCTATAGATCAGAAAAATATACGGTCTCATGTAATCCTTATAACGGTTGTTGGTTGACATGCTGACGTCCTCACCCCCGAATGTGGCGGGACCTGAAGCGCAGCCATTGCGATGGAATTCATTGATACAAAGTCAGCTGGGGCGGGCGCAGCCTGACATGGTGTGACTGGTGTTTAATGAGAAGGTGGCGATGGAAAGACAGACGTAGGCAGAATGCCAAGTGGCAGGAAAAGGGTTGGAATGATGCGCCTACAAGCCAAGGGTGCCAGCAGCCACAGAAGCTGGGAGCGACTGGACTGCCCGCAGCCAGGCTCACAGGCACACCCGGGCTCTGCAAACCCCTTTTCCCCGGCTTTGTGCTGAGTGACCACTAGGGAGCGACATCGCCTCACTGCTGAGCCCGGTGCGGCCACAGGCAGGCCCTGCCCAGGGGGCGACGAGGAGACTCCCTCTCCCTGGATGGGTTTCCAGCTTGGGGTGTTTGCCTTCAAATGTACCCCCAAACCGAAGGAAGCCGATGCCACAGAGGAGCGGCGCCCTCATGGTGAGCAGCCCGCCCGGGCCTTTCCCAGGGGCGTGGTGGCACATCGAACACGGGTCCCAGGGCCCGCCTCGGGCACGCAGCTAGCGAGCAGCCCCGGCCCTGCGGGTTACATCCTAGGGCGGGGAGACAAGGAAATGCGAGTGCTGCTAGGAACATCTCAAAGGCGAAAGGAAGGTGCTGCTTCAGGAAGGCCTCGGGTGTGGAGGCGTCTGAGCAGGGAGGGGGAGCAGGCAGGGGGCGCCGTTGAGGGAATGGCAGCAGCCGGAGGCATCAGTGTGGCGGCCGTGCAGCGAGAGCACAGGGGAGTGGGGGGATCAGCAGGGGCCTCCAGAGAGACCTGAGGATCAACTGTGATGGTCTTGGCCTCCCCATGCCCTGCCTTCGCCAGAAAGCCTTGCCTGGTTGTGCTTGCCGCAAGCCGCCGCCGGGCTGTTCCTGCAGGTGTCTGCAGTCTGTGTGTCCCCTGATAGGCTCTGTCTTTTGGAAGATGGTTGTCTGAGGCTTCAGGGGCCTGCCCCTCATTCCCCAGCTCTCCGAGGTCCTCCCAGTGCCAGCCAGAGCCCCATGCAACCCAGCCCCCGGTGTGAACGCGCCGAGGTCAGGGCCGGCTGCGGTGCCCGGGGGGCACCTGGGTGAAATGAGAGTGACTGGACGGGAGGAGAAAGGCCGACCCGCTCCGGGTCCTGGTCCCTGCACCGGGTCTGCACGCGAAGCGGGGGCTCTGCAGGAGCTCCGTGCTGACCTTCCCTGGCTTCTCTCAGGAGCCCGTTTCCTGACATGTCAGTCCGGTCCCGCCCACAGGGCACTCGGCAGGCAGAGAGACGGAGGCTGTGAGGGCGAGGGAGTTCGGAGAAGCCGGCCAGAGAGCAGCGGAAAGCTTCTCGCTCCCTGGGTGGAGAGGCCAAAAGGGGTTACGGGGAGGGGCGTGCAGGGGTGACCTGGCGGGAGCCCGGAGTTGGTCTTTGTGGCGGGGTCGGAGACCAGGGCGGCGGCAGCCACAGCCGGAGATGCCGCCCAGGGCCACTCCCTCCCCCAGGCTGCCAGCCCGCTGCGAAAGGGGCCGGTGTCATGGCTGCAGGGTCAGCCCCGAGCACCAAGCAGAGCAGCTCTGGGGGTCCCCAGCACGTGCCTGCGTCTCAGCTTTGTCCTGGGCCCACCCTGCCTCCTTCTTTCCCTCGTCTCAATGCTGATCCCGAGAGCGTTCCTAACACGCATCCAGCACACCCATTTCCGTCTCAGAGTCTGCCCCTCGGGGAACCTGCGACTCTTCTTCAGGTCAGCAGCTGCCCCCTTCAGTCCTCCGCCCGAGAGGCCGGAGTGGCCAGTGGGAGGAAGGAGGAAGGAGGGAGTGGGTGGAATGAATGAGTGAGTGAATGAGGCAGGATTGAACCGGCCTGCGGACGGGTTGGCAGTAGTTAGGTCCGGGAACGATGCTTTGCCTGCTCATGGAAGTTGCCCGGTGGCCCAGAGCTGCCTGGGTTTTACCCTGAGTCTGGCTGAATACGGTCTCCCTGGTGTCACTGTGCTCCGCGGCATGGTTTCGAGGCGGAGAGCGCGCCCAGCCGTCCACAGTTGCCCCCTGAGCTCCCTGGCTCAGCCAAGGCCAGGGCCTCGGGCCCGGCGCGGCTGGAAGCCTGCTGGATCGGGCAGCTGGTGAGGGCTGACTCTGGCTGAGCAGACTTCAGGAAAACGTGACTCCTCTTGCCTGCCCACAAAGAAAGGATGGTATGCCCGGCATCTGAGTTTCCTGAAAAGACCGCCAGCACTCCGCAGAGATATGTGGCCGGGCACCCAGTGCGGTCCCCTGGGGGAGCGCCCTCTGGTGGCTGTCATGCAGATCCCCTGAAGGAGCCCCGGGACTGGGTCCAAGGAGATGCTGATGAGCGCTGCTTGACCACTTTATTTCTCAATTCCCTTTTTAAAATCACATTTTATTTTCACAGCGTCAACTTTTTACCGCGTTTGCTTATCGCCTCTCTCTTAATACAAATGTGTGTGCTAACATGAAATCTAAACCGTCTGGAGTACTGGAGTAACACCTAAATCCTTCAGTATATATTTCACACAAGCTGGGACATTCTCCTGCCTGCAGATTAATGACCAAACTCAGGAAATTGACATTAATGTAAGGGCCCGCGCTCAGCCATAGACTGTTCACATTTCACAAATGGTCTCAATAGCTCTCCTTTATTTTTATTTTTATTTTATTTTTTGAAGCAGGAATCTGTGACCCCACATTGCGTTTGGTTGTCCTCTCTCTTCTCAGCCTCCCTTCAT